ACTATATTCACGGCAAATGCTTCAATCGTGTAAGTTACACTACCCCTTCCTCAGCGCAGTAGCGATGATCCTTATTTTCAATCGATATAGGTATTTTTTTGGATCGTGGTCGACATTGTCAACATTATGACTGACATTATCATCACGGGAATCCTGATTAGCATGTTCAAGAGTCTTCAGACCTCAAGGTTTAAGAAATACCTAGTAATTGGGGTATTTGGATGTCGCATTCTGTGAGTTTATCAATTGATAACGAAACCAATAACAGCAGCTGACGGTATCCAGGATTACTCCAGCCATCATCTGCCACATCTACTACTTTCACAAAGCTACAGAGCTTAACAATCCCTTATTTGACATGTGGGCGCCAACTGTGATTGTGCAGGTTATACAATGCATGAGCATTATGGTAACATGCGTTCCCTTCCTCAAGCCGTTTATGGATAGCCTTGAATCAGGACAAATGAATGCTGGTGATGGATTGCAAACACGAACCAAGGGCAGCGACTCTAGGAGCCGAACTGGCGATACAGCGCCACGGACTCTTAGAGGGATCACTACTCTAGCCTCAAACGCTTCATACCGAAGGCAAAATTACGAAATGGTCGATGCGGATAATTGGGGCGCAAAAGAGGATAAGGGGACAACAGCCACAGCCACGGCAGTAACAACGGAGCCAAGTCGCCCTTGGGACGGGCAGAGTCATACGAGTCAGTCGGTACTTGTGCACCAGACCTGGCAGGTAGAGATTGAGAGGCAGGACAGTACATCGGAGCTTACTGGGTAGTTCATCCTTCTATGCATATAGACGTATTTATATAACATCATTTCAAACAGCTATAATCACTGTGTTATAGCAACTGAAGCATCACGATCCACGCGACGTGTAGTCACTAACGACTAAATCAGGTATCCTTATTCCAATCTCTATATCACTTAAATTGACTACTAATACAGCCCATATAAACATAAACGGAGGATTTGTACAAGGGAAGAAGTTTTTAAGTTATGGAAGCTTCTGTAAGTCTCCTGACCTTACTGGTGTGGTATGCCCTCACGATGCCCCTGGTCCCATCATCTAACTACCTCATCTCATCCCTATATTGTTAAGCCGTGTAGCGGCGGTTGGCATAAACTCTGATACTTACCCCCCTACTAGGACCATTTCATGTGAGGGTCAGGTAGGCCGGGCCGTGAGATTAGTGTCGGACGAGTATTAGAGTTCATACCCACCGCCGCCACACGGCTTGACTACTGGCTGATACTCTCTGCCGTGTCATACTTTAGGGGGGTCCTAACGGGCGCAAATTACGCATTTGAGTAAACGCCACCATAGCTGATTCATGCCAGAACGATGAGACAGCACCATGCAAGAATTAAGTCGTTACAGGAGTAGAGTTTATGTACGTATTTGCCATTACGTACCTGGCTGTTCCGCAACAGAAGACTCGGTCGAATATATTATGCTCGATATCCAATAAAAAAGAGCTTACTATGTTCCTTATATTTTTTTCCGCGTACATTTCAGTATCACCTCCGATGCCAACTACTGCGTGAACCACTCCCTAATTATTTCATACTCTTTCGTCGTAAGTTATTTCTTCGATTGGGCTCCATTGGATAGGTAGAACCTTATGACTCTAGCGCGTATTATTTTTCATTGATCTTTGTCTGCAGCACTTCATATAAGATGACCCTCCGACACGAAAGCCACGAGCTCATCAACTTGAGCGCGGCCAAAACCGTAGCACCCATGGTGGTCAGTAGTTCCAGGTCTACCGGCTTGGATCGCGACGACCTAGATCGCGAACAATTAGCAAGATTAGGAAAGAGATCGGTCCTCAAGGTAGATGCCCTAATACACTCCCTTCTGCTGCTTTATGTACACAGCGTATTATCTCACATTTTTCGACTGGACTTCGAACTAATAATGTCTTTACCAGCGAAACTTTAGTTATCTCTCAATCTTGGGATTTAGCTGTGCCGTCCTCGTGACTTGGGAAGGCATACTCATGAGCTTAGCGCCCGGTTTGGCAAACGGGGGCCCAGGTGGTCTTATCTACGGCTTTACTTTTATTTGGATTGGTAATCTTAGCGTTTTCTCTACCCTCTGCGAGCTTGTATCCATCGCTCCTACGTCTGGCGGCCAGTACCATTGGGTGGCAATGTTGGCTCCTCGGTCTTGCTCCAAGTTTCTGAGCTATATCACAGGATGGTTGACTCTGGCCGGATGGCAGGGCACGTGTGCTGCGTCTAGCTACCTCACTGGTACTATGTTGCAGGGTATCATTGTGTTTATGGTACCTTCATATACCGCTCAAACATGGCAGGGGACATTAATAGCCTGGCTGCTCATCCTTATCGCTATCTTCGTCAACACCGTCGTCAGCTCTATGCTCCCTAAGCTAGAGGGCATAATCTTGATTCTGCATATTATTGGCTTCTTTGCCGTTCTCATTTCACTGGTTACCTTTGGCGCTAACGGGGATGCCGAGCATATCTTCCTCGAATTTCGCAACACTGGTGGTTGGTCTACTCAAGGTTTATCTTGGTGTGTAGGGCTTCTGGGGAGCGTATATTCTTTCGTTGGTAAGCGCTCGACCCCAGTTCATTGGTTCTTCATAGAGAATAGCGACTAAATCTGCTGCTTAGGTGTCGACTGCTCTTTCCACGTAAGGTCTATCCCATATTATGCTCATTCCTCATCGTCCCCTTTTACTCAGGGCAACAGCTAATATGTTGTGCAGATGTGTGAGGAAGTCAAGAACACTTCTGTGGCTGTTCCCCGATCTATTATGACCAGCATCGTGATTAATGGCTCCATGGGCTTGGCCATAATTATCGCCATGCTGTACGGTGCAACCGATATCGACAAGGCCATCAGCTCTGCTACTGGATACCCTTCCATCGAGATCATCTACCAAGCTACAGGATCTATGGGCGGAACTGCCGCCATCACCTCTTTTATTGTCACCATGAGTGTCTCTTGCCTTATTGGCACTATTGCCGCCACTTCCCGTGTATTCTGGTCTTTCGCCAGAGACCACGGTCTGCCATTTTGGCCTACTTTATCCCAGGTAAGAACATCTATGAAATTTGCAGAGCGAGCGAAATATGTACTGTTGCATTATGCTTTGTATTCCCCAGCTGATATGGAAAACTAGGTCAATTCCTGGACTGGCGTCCCCGTCTGGGCGATTGGCATTACTAGTATCATCTCCTGCCTTCTTGCCCTCATAAATATTGGCTCTACAGCCGTCTACAACGCGATTATTTCAATTGCCGTGTCGAGTCTTTACTCTTCCTACCTTATGGCTGCCAGCCTTCTCCTTTATCGCCGTGTCGGGAAAGGATTCAAGCTTCCAGATCCCAGCGCTTTCCCCGCTCTTGCCGATACGGGCGCCGGTGAAGGCCAAACTTTGGCCTGGGGCCCATGGCATGTTCCTGGTGTTTTTGGGATCATTAACAATACGTATGCCTGTCTCTATCTGGCTCTCATCTGGTTCTTTAGCTTCTGGCCACCTGCAGCAAACCCCAACGTAGCTAGCATGAACTTTGCTGTCCTAATAACCGGCTGTGTTTTCATCTTTAGTGTTATTTACTATTTGACTTGGGCTAGGCGGGAGTACAAGGGGCCTATTGTTGAGAACTTGAGTGAATAGAATCAGATCAACACCGTTGGAGCACATGGTGTTTTACAGTGGTTTTATCAGGAAGGCCCTATAAGGGTAATAGATTAATTGAGAATTAACTTTAACTGTGCTTAGGTCTAAGATAATTAAAGTAAAGTTTCTCTACTAAATAAATAGGCCTATGTAATTTTAAAAGTGACTTTCTATGCTATTTCAATTTTAATTTATTAATTATTATTATTGTGCTCTTTCCAGCTACCCTAAAGTCCTAGAATTTCTTGGCTCTCCTAAAAAAACTTATATAAGTATTAAGAAAGTGGCCCTGTCTATACCTAGATCCTTAATAAGTATACAGCAAATATCCTAATCTGCGCTTTGCATAGTCATAAGCCGCAGTGATGGCTTTGTCTATGATAATCCTGCCTGCTGCCCCCAGATTGCTTTGATCTAGGGATCTACACTCCTGCTAACCTAAACCGAGGAGCCTATGCAGCCCTCTTATAGAATAGTCCGGCAGCCGTGAACGGCACTATTAGTGTTTCACCTAGACCTGGTCGCATAGCCCAGACACCATCTTCACCACTCAACCCCGCCACCACCGCTGCAGCTACAAAAGGAGCTGTATATACCAGCCCTGCATCGATTTTTAAATAATGACCAATCTCTATCATCGAATTAGCTAATAATCCCGCGCGAGAACGCGTGTTATTTATATTGTATAATAGTGCTGGGTAAAAGTATATTTTATAAAACTTAGTTATTAATTATTAAGATAAGAGTTCTTCTCGGGTTTATATCTCTAGTTGATTTTATCTAGGACTTTGACCTTTAAATCTAGGACTTTTAGACTAATAGTCTAAATCCTAAAGATAAGAGGGATTCCTAGTTTTTTTTAACAGTGGTTTGGCTGTGAAAAGTTAGAAATTAAAGCTACTAGTACCCTGCTCATACTGCTACGATGACAGGAATAGGGTGGGGCGGCCTACGGATTGTGGTCTCATAAGCTCTTAGGAGATGCTGTTAATTCCTGCAATGTGTACCGAGCCTGAAAGACTATTCTCTGGTGCAAAGATAACAATTACAGACCGCCGAAATCGACCTGGGAGTGATGTAATTAAAGCATTAGAGTGCCTGAAGTCATGGTTTAGGATATGAGATTTTCAGGGTAATAAGATTTATGCAGAAGCGGTAGAATAATAGGGTCACATGGAATATATTAGGTGTACTGTCACACTGCCAATATATTGGGTTCTTAGCAATGAATACAGTAGGAGTCATGCTCATATTGGGTAATGCAATATGCACCCCTTGGCAATACAATAATATTGTGAAGGGATCCATATTGGCAAAACTATATTGTTTATATTATTAGCAACACTGTCCTTTTCTGGATGCAAGAATAATATTGTGATAAAGGAAAGTGGAATCCTTCCCCAGCCGCCAATCTAACAGTAGTTTGGCCTCATATATTGGGCTTCGGGGGTCGAAGTAGTTTACACCTCCCCCCAAGCCTTTCTTCTTCCCCTTGCCGCGACCCTCACCCTGGCATTCATGGTAGTTGTGACCAGTGACGTTAGTGAGGATGTAGTTGGGCCAACCGACAAGCTGCTTCATGACCAGCCGAAGCAGGGTGTAAGCGGGGGTCTCCTCAGTCAGTTCAGAGAGCTCGTAGGCTATGCGGCCAATGCGGGTGGCGTGCTGCTCGCGAGTGCGAGGAACAATGACCATGTCACGCTCCATATTTCCAGTGGCCTTATGGTGTTTGCCATGAGAGATCTGCCAACTGGAGTATGGGACAAGAAGAGCTGAGTGAAGTACCCAGCCGGTCGCGTCATTGACAAGTCGAAACTCAGAGAACGCTTGATGGCCACATTCGTGGGCAATGACCAAGAGACCAGTTCCAAAGAGACCCTGGAGCGTAGTGTATAGGCACCAGAGCAGGGCTCGTACAGGCGTGGAGGGAAAGTATTCAGGAGTCACGAAGTTGTAGAAGATGGTGAAGGTGGTGACAAGGCAGATTATGTCGCGGAGGATGTAAATGTATCCTTTGAAGGTGGATCACTCGAAGCAGTGCTTTGGGATGGCATCGCGGATATGCTTAATGGTGAAGTCGGGGGGCGTGAACTCGTTGCCATATGTATCAAGGAGACGGTCATGTGTAGGCTTGGCCTGGTTGGCATCCACCAAAGAGAGCGAAGAAAGGGAGGTCGAGGACTCGAAGTCAGTGACGGTATGCCGAGATGCTGGGTGCTGCCCGGGGACAGTCGAGGTCGAGACGGAAGCCATGATCGGGAAGATAGATTACTCTAGTCGGGATAAAGTCAATTGACTTGACGAACGGTCGACGAGGAGATTGGGTTGAGAGATGGAAAGTACCTGGTGGTGCTGCCGTGGCAGTGGGAGTTGTTATGCGATTTTCCTGGACTGGGGGCTTTGTTGGGGAACTGGACAAGTTTGAATAGCTGCTCAACGCTTCCACGCCTTTATGCGGTCATGATAGATAAGAATCTAATAAACATTTTACATATTATTGTCAACTAAAATAAACGTCATAAGCCATCCCTCAATCAGGAGTTCTTGTTCCCCAACAAATGTTGATTTAGGGTCTTGGCTAAACAGCTTCCTTAGCTCTTTTGGTATCATGATTAAGATTAATGGAAAGTGGTTTCCAAATACTATATATATTATTCACATTGGGAGAGTTAACGCATTACGAAGGTTGGTAGCGCTAGATTTGTCTCAGTATAGAAATTCTCGATGTCATATCAACAGGGTGGTGAAGCTCGAGACATACTTGGGCATTGTAGAGTAGAGGGAGCTCTACCCATGTCCCATCACATGTTAATTTTTACGGTGAGAGAGGAGTGACATAATCTGAGTCCTTAACAAAATTAAATTAACCATAGAGTCTTACTATGTGGGCAAGCCACTTAGTAGGATCCAAAAAGTTAGGACAGCATGGCCTCCCCCCAAATCACAGCTAACAATGGCCCTCGATGCTGCAATTGATTTTGACGGTTGTAAACGCGTTTTCTGTATATAAAAAATAGATATCCTAGGAGCTACGGCCTAGTAACTAATGCTCTCATTGACCTTAGTAGAGTCTGTTTATCTGTTCCACTTTACAGGGGGTAGAGTCGATTACAAAGGTCAGAGTAGAGCCCACTTACATGCCAACTAATAAAAATAGTAAAACGCATCTTATATAACAACCACAGTAAGTTCAAGGCAGAGTCGCATTAAGCAGTATTAAATAGAATATAAGTAATAGTATAGGATAGAGTTCTTTTCATAGATATAATAATATAATATAATAGCTATATTTATTATTATTATAGAACCATTTATATACTTATTAAGATACCAGATCGCAATATGCAAGACTTGTCGTTTTGCCTATATGGCGAATGAGGTGACTACTTTTAAACAGGCACTGGGTGTTATATGTAAGCAGGGATTACTTAACCTCATTCCCTATAAGGATACGATTTCAAGTATATTAATGCCTTTCTTATTATTTTACTAAATAGTGCTCTTAGTAAACCAGAAAGTATATGCGCCTAATGCATATTTACACCTAAATCTCAGAGTATAGACATAGACTAGCAGTAGATCTAAGAATATCTTTAAAAGGTATATAATTAAGATTTAAAAGTTAAGAATAGATATTACTTACTTATTATAATAAAAAAAGAAAAAAGTAATAATTTATAGAGAATAAATATTTATTATTAATAATTATTTTTTAGTAAGCTAGAAAGTAAGCTATTTAAGGTAGTAAAAAGGTTAAATCTTAAATAATTAAAGTTTTAAAATACTAAGTTATAATTTAAATATTAGAAGGCTATTAATATATTTTAAAGTTAAAATAAAGATATTTAAAGTTAAAAAGTAGAATATATTAATATATAAAAATCACTTTATTATATTAAATTTATAGCTTTATTAGCTTAATTTTAATATTTACTTAAATAATTTTAAAAGAAAATAAACTTCTTAAGGGATTTAATTATTATAAAATATAATATAATTAATAGGTATATAACCTAGATAAGTATATAACTTAATAATCCCTTACCTTATTATATTTCTATCTAATTAGATACTTCTTAACTATTAAATATATTTTAATTATTAAATAAAGCTAGAATCCTTCTTGCCCTTTAGGCCATTTAAAAGAATCTAAAATTAAGTAATATCTTATAATACTACTAAAATAGTATTTAATTATAATATAATTTTATCCTAAAGTTATAAAAACTATTTAATCTAAAAGAATAAATAATAATATAATTTATCTTTAATTTAGATTTATAAGAATTTCCCTTATAATTATACTTTATAAAAAATATAATTAATTCTCTATTAGCTAATTATAATATATTACCTATTAATAAGTACTAGACTTATAATTTTATAAAGTAATAATTAAAGTTAAAAATATATTTATTTTAAAATTATAATTATAAAGCTAAATATAAAGATTTTATTATTATTTATAATTAATTTAAACTTATATAAAATATAATTATAAAATATAATATTTAATTAAATAATACTTAAAACTTTAATTAGATTAGCTATATAGTAAGCCTTATAATAGCTAGAATAGCTATTATAGGTTTAAAAATATAAAAAAGGCTAAATTTAATATAGCTTAAAAACTAAGAATTAATTATTAGAATTTAAGTAATTAATATAAAAGGTTAATTAATTATATTATTTATTATTAATATAAGCTAATATTATCTTATTTATTAATATTAAAAATATAACCTCTTAGGTAATTAAGTTATTATAATAAGCTAAAATAAATAAATAAATAATAAGCTAGGTATTAAGTAATTAAAGTATTTTAATTAATTTATAATTAACTAATTAACTAATTTTTATTATCTTTTAATTTTTAATAATTATAAAAGCTATTACTTTATTAATTTAAAGAAATACTATTAAAATTATAAGATTATTATATTTTATATATCTACTTATATATCTTATTTACTTTAGCCTCTTAATATTAAGTACTTTAAGCTATTAAAATAGGCTTATAATTAAAAAATAAAATATTAAATTAAATATTTTATAACTTATATTTCTAAGATTAACTTTCTTTTTACTTTTTATATTATATTTAAAGCTATTTCTATAAAAAGTAATATCTAAGAGGATTTTAAAAAAGCTAGGCTAACTTCTTTTAACTTAAAAATTATAATCTTAAAGCTTAATATATACCTATAAACCCTAATACCTCCTAAGAAGGCTACTTAATTATTAATATTATAAGCTTTAAAGACCCTAAAGATAATAATTAAGGCCTAATCTTAGTTTAAATACTTTAAAAGGTAAATTAAAAGGTATTATAATAACTCCCTAAAGTTTATTATTAAAGCTTTAAAGTTAATTATTAAGATAATAAAGGCAATTATATATAAAATTACTATATTAAAGGCTAAGCTTTATAATTTTTAAAATATAAATAAGATATTAAGTTAATATTATAAGATAAAAAGAATTAAATTATAAAAAAAATAAATTATAATTATATAAGAAGTATTATAAGTAATTAATTAAATAAATATTAATATGTAAGTAGTAGTTAAATTATTAAAAAGTAGTAATTAAAGAAGATTAAAGTAACTAGGTAGTTAATATTATAATATATATAATAAGGATAAATATAATATAAGAACTTATTAGGTAGTTCTTAAGTTATTTAAGAAGGAATTTAATAAGTAAAAGCTAGTATTTTTAAATTATAACTTAAGCTTTTAAGTTATAATTTAAAAAGGTTAAAGAAAGTAGGTTATATACTTATCTAGGTTATATGCTTATTAACTATATTAAAGTAAATTAAAATAATTAAAGTAAGTTAAATAATACTTAATAGTAGTTAATATATATTATATTTAATTAGCTAATTAATTATATTAAGGCTATTATTACTTTAGATATTTTATTTTAAAATACTTTATTTAAGGTTAACTATAAAGAATTAATAAAAAAGAAAATAAAACCTTTTTATTTCCTATTTATGCTAGAAATATAATCTTTTAATAATATAGTAAATTAGCTATTAGTAATAAAGTGCTTATAATATCCTAAGAGAATATATAGATAACTTTACTAATACTTAGAAAGAACACAAGGGTAACCTAGAAGTGCCCGAGGTTATTAGGCTTCTTAATCTGCTAAAAAGCACCTAGTCTTATATATTAAAATCAACTTTAAGAGAGTTAATTATTTCATCCTACTTTATAGGGGTATAAAGTTAAATCTGTAATTAGCTATAAAAATTACTATCTAATAAGGTATATTATAAGTAAGAAATAGTAATATATATTATATAAGGTAAAAGCTTATTATAATTAGTATTTAAGAAGGCATATTAAAGCTATATAAATTAAAGTATAAAGTATATAGTATTATTTTATATTAAGTTTAAAAGATTTAAGCTTATTTTATATAAATAAATTAACCTAAGATATAAAAGAAGGTTATTTATAAGATGCCTAATGCCTCTTATTAAATTATTAAACTTTCTTATTAGTTATATATAAACTAAAGTAAGCAGAACTTCCTACTCCTAGGCTATTATATATTAGTAATATCTGCTTATAGGGTTATATACCCTACCTACTAGCTAAATAGCTAGAATTTATAGTTTTAAATTATTAAAACCTTACTAGCAGTTTAAGCTTAAGTTTAAAGGTAGTTTAATTAAATTTATAATCTTTAAGGCTATCCCTATAAGTATTAATATAACAAGGCATTATAATACGAGAAGACTTATTATAGTTTAGCTTTATGCAGAGGTTAAAGGTGGGCTGGCTAAACTTCTTTTATATACTTCTGAATCTTAATAGTGTCCAGGGTTCATATGCATTATAGTTATATTAAGGAGGGAACTTGGCGCTTAATGTAGTCCTACTGTTGGAGGGGTAATAAGGCCCTTAACAGGTTCTATGCTCGTAACCTACTTCTATATCAATACCTCAATACCCTGGAAATCTCCATGTTATGGCAAACCAGTTTAGTAAAAGCATAAGATACGGGAATATAGTTTATTACCTTAAATATGTCTAATGATCACCAACACCGTCAGACACGGCTTACCTTGGATGGAGATTGGGATAACGAGGCTGGCTGAGATAACGGTGGAGCTGTACTCTGACTCTGCTATAGGTCTCAAGCTCGAGGAGTGTACACCAAATCAATGTTACACTTGAGATTACAGATGTCAGTCGGAATCACCGTGGAGACTGGGCGCCTCGACACTAGCTCATGTCTTTAGGCAGTCCTGAAAAGTATAAAATTGGATGCCACTCGGACCTTAAGCCTGTCCACTAAACATTTTAACCAAGGCTTCTGCCAATTGCGCATTTGGCGTCTTTCAGAGAGCAATCAAAGTCCAAATTCCGGGTTTTGAGGGGATGCAATACTCCCGCGATGGCACTCAAGCTGAGAAAAAGGACTACGCCTACTTCAACCAGCAATATGCAACCTCAACTTATCAGGTTGATCACAATATGTACCCAGATCTCATCGTTCAGCCGAAAGGAGACGAAGACGTCATCAAGGCTGTGATTTGGGCCAGAGAGAACAAAGTCGCTGTTGCTGTTAAGAGTGGCGGTCATCAGTACAGTGGTGCGTCGTCTACCAGTGGCAAGAACATTCAGATGGACCTTAGCAACACGTACAAGGACTTGATGGTTCTGAATCCCCATGGTCCCATTGACAAAGATAGAGCCCTGGTGTACGTTGACGTCAGTAATCAACTCAAAGAACTCAACACATATCTCAAGCACAACCAACTGTTTGTCCCCCACGGAGATTGCGCTTACGTATGTGTGGGTGGGCATGGTCAAACTGGTGGTTATGGCCAGCTTGGCCGTGGCTTTGGCCTTTTTGGCGACCACATCAGAACCATTCGTATAGTCTGTCACAACGGTGCCATTCGAGACATTTCTAAAGAGAACAACTTCGAGTTTTTCTATGCCATACTCGGGGGCAGTCCAGGTAATTTTGGCATCATCTCACACTATACCGTCGAGGTGTATCAAGCCAAGAGCTACATGGGGACTATTGCCGGCCTAAACAGATTCAAGGGACCACATGGCATCAAAGGATTCTGGATCTACTCCCCCAAATGCTTACCGCCGTCGCACAAATGGCCGACAATGCCAAGGTCCCCCGAGGCTTTGACCTCACTGTTAACGTCCTCAGCAACGACTTTCCCATCGCGATGCTATTTCCCTTATTGAATAATGCTAGTTTTTGGGAACACATTCAAAACAAGATCAAGAACGCCCTTGCGGATGAATTTCTTGAGTGGCTCAATGGTCGCTTCCCCGCCGTCATCATAGTTAATGCGTAATGGTGCCCTACCACCAAGAAGGACAAGTATGACGAGAGTGTTGATCAATGGTTCAACAAGTTCCGGGCCCTCAAGAGTTTCTTCGAAAATGAGACTCTCCTCATCGACGAGTTCGAAGAGGACATGTCTCGAATGACTGGAAGATGGATTCTCCCCAGGCGGCGAGAGTTTGATCTCCCTTATGTCAAGCGCACCTACTCTACCAAGTCGAAGTCTCTCGAAAAGGACGGCTAGGTCGACTCGGTCATTGATCGCATCGACTTAATCTATAACCCGCACCAGTTAGTCGATAATAACCCAGGGGATAAGGAGTACGAGGTCTACACCTATTGCAAGCTTGCAACGCAGATCCATTGCTATGGAGGCGTCAATTCACACTTCTATTTAAACAAAGATAACGGCACTTCCTATAGCTGAAGGGACACGTCAGTTGTCCAGACGCTGGACTGTTTTCATGAACTGGGTGACAAGTATAAAGAGTATGCCGAAAGGTGGCAGGCCAAGAATGACTCTGTTATGGTTGGTCCCTCGAGCCCATTTAGTAAGCAAGATAGACGTTTGCTCTGGGGCTCTTACGGTGACTGGGACTTAGGGAAGCAGGAGGTTTGAGAATATTATTATGAGAATACGGAAAAGTACCAGAAACTGGGTAAAGCAAGGGGTAAAGCTGATCCTAACGGTACCTTCACTGCAAACCTGTTTGCTGTTTCAGCTATTGAAACAAAGGGCGCTTAAACTGTAGATTGATCTATTGAGGGGCATATAATAGCCGGCCGTTTATCCCATCGGATCATCCTCAATCTCCATGACTTGAACGTGCAAGTCGGGGGATGTAGATTAAGATGTCACTATGATGCAATATGAACCAGTTTTGTAAAACCTAAAAAGCCATCGAGTGTTATTGAGAAGTATTTTCTCAGCTGAGATTCACTATTTGCTAAGATTTCGTACTCATCTTACATACAATAGAAGATATTGCAGTGGCTTAAGCATGGTTTTAGGTAGCCTGCAGATACGAGTCACATTGGAGTCCATAAGAGCAACTAACCCTACTGCTACCGTTCCAGGAGGGGCATGCAGGTAAGATATCGTATTCATCTTGTCATACCATAAACGATGCTGTAAGTGGCTGAAAATAGTGGTGACTTCATCAATCATATGGCATGTGAACCTAAGGAGACGCCTGTAAACCAAATGCTATATTTCCCAGGAGTCCCGCGAGTCTCCTCATATTACCTAAACCATTTATGTTGCGTACCTCGCCCTATCCTATTACTATATTTCGTTTGATACAAAATTGGATCCGACCATTCTCGACACGACTTGCAAACATGACCTCGAAAATACGCTACGCACTTTGTACACTCGGCTCATACATAGCTGGCACCCTCCTCACCTTCGCGATGAAGGTGTTTGTCGCGGCAGGCGACACACAAGTGGTCGATGCAATCCTCCAGGCGATAAATCGGTCTCTAGAAGCCATGACACAAAGCCTCAGCGGCGCAGCCCTCATTTGGAAGGCTATCTTTACTAACGACATTAACAAGCCCTCTCTAAACTTCATATTAAACCATCTACCTGAACTGGGCCAGTTCTTATATGACTTGATCAGACCAGGGACCGTCTTGGGTCGATTTCCGTCCACTGACGGTCCGCCAGAGAGCTTTGATGCTGAGTTCCCAGGCATAGACAATCCGTACAATGAACTCGACTTATGGCTACCGGAGAACAGAAACGCTGTGGTTTGCCAAGCACAGCGGGTAGCTTTGACCATTGTTGCCATTCTGAAGTTGGGCAGAGGAAAAATGCCAAACGGACTCGACGATGTTCAACTAAACGTCAGTCTACGCAGCGACTTTGATGCAAATGCCAACCCTCCGTCACCAACATACATCTCAGCGCTTCACGGCGGGCCGCTGTCCCCACCAAATGAGAAATGGCTCTTCATCAACGGCATTGCAAACGAATTCTTTTGGTTTCAACGGTCGTGCGACAAGATCCGCGACACCTTCAACAGAGAAGTCACAGGAGTATATAACAGAAGCGACGGTATCCTCTGGGACTTTATTGAATGTTGCAGCGAACGCAGGGACGGTGAGCCAAATACTCTTATCGAAGGGACACAGAGTAGCAAGGCTGCTCAGAAGGCCCTCGAGCAAGAGCTTAGGGCTGCCCTATGGCCTACCGCTGCTAAGGTCCCCGACAAAGTCGTCATGATTGCGCACTCTCAGGGTTGCCTGATCTTGCGCCTGGCACTACAGACGCTGGTAACAGAGACTCCAAAAGGCTCCCCTCAAAGACGAATAATTAAGGAAAGGCTAAGAATATTCACCTTTGGAAACCCAAGTATCGACTGGAAGGTGATAGATGGGACTGAACAGCCTTTGAGCAAATACGTCTACACTACAGAGCATTTTGCGAACGAAACCGACTTTGTGGCCATGCTGGGCGTTGTCATGCACCGCGACGACAAGGGCTCGGGTTATGACCCAAATATGGTTTTCTATAGCAAGACGGGAAAGGCGCATCTATTCGGTGCACATTATTCTCTCGGGGTTGATGCTTATCATGGTGGGGAGAATTCGCAGTTGTTGAAAGCCGTGAATGGAACAGAGATAGCTTGAGCGATGTAGCCAGGTATGTCATTTGCGAGTATCGGTGCACTTCGATATTCATCAGACTAGTACGTAACATAATGCTTAACGGCAGATGGAAAAAGGGGGTAGTATACTGGAGACGAGGCACCGAGAATGGATACTGTAACAGAATTAAAACGGACCAAAGTTATTTACACCAATGAATACAATGAAGTAAACCTAAATTTGCAGCGAAACCGCTACAAACCGATTCTGGACTACCTGCCTGCGATCTCCCTTGGGCTATTTCTCTCCCGCTATCTGGCCTAGCCTACTTTCTTGCTGGAACTCCGCATCTAGCTCGGTAGCTTACGACTTGAGTTGCAGCCCCTTTCTACGCTGGGGTCCATGCGCTACTCAGGCTCAGGGTTAAGCACATGTGATATCAAGTGCAGATAGACGTGATTCCATAACAGGACTCCATAATTGCATCCAATCAGGGCTATTCATGATAATGGCCACTGACTTAATACTTACACTCGCCCCGAACCTTAAATCTTTTTTAGGTTAAGCTTACTAGCAGGTAGGCAGTGCACCACGATACTAAGTTACAAAGCTACGGTCAGGTTAACTCTATTTCGATAACCAAGCTCGATGGTATTGTGAAGTTATCTGGCTACCGCATCCATAACGTTTGCAGCCCTGGATAAACCTTAAGATGTATTATTTATTAATGTGTGACCACCAGGCACTATAGTGACACAACCTTGTCCATTAGTCCTTGTAGCTAGTGAGAGCAATTAGGCGGGCTTGAGTATGGTTAGCTGAACGCTTTAATGTATTAATACAAGGATATATTTAATTACCTATGGCAAATAATAGTTAATATCTTCTTCTAAGTGGCCCTTCCGGAGTTGCATAGTATCCTCTTCTTTTAGCTAGGCCTAACTAATAGTAATTATCTCCTCTATAGCGCTATATCTTATAGTATTAGCACTACCTAATATAATACTAGTATTACTATTATCTTAAATAATTTAGTATTAAGTATACCTCTTACTTATTTAAATCTATAGTATAACCTATTTCTATTATATCTCTGCTATTTTATGCCTTACCTCTCTCTAGTAATAAATAATATTATCTTATACTATTATAAGATACTTATATATAATATAGCTATGCCCTTTTAATACTAGGAGCTATCTAATAATTATATTATTATCTTTTTAAAGCTTTAACTTAATTAGATTTATTATATCTCTGCTAATATAATAATTAAAAGTATTTTTTAAATATATCTAATTAAAGTATTATCTTATATCTTTAATAAATAAGTATATAATATTTATTATTAAGTTTTATATACTTATTTAGTATTATTAAATAATACTTAGTATTATAATCCTAGCAGTTATATTATATATACCTTATAATTTTCTCTACTTAACCTATTAACCAGGGAAAGATTAATACTTATAGGACTAATAGTATTCTAGGACTATATTATTCTAAGACTAATAGTAATCTTATATTATATTACTCTTATAGAATTATATTTAATATATAAAATATATTTATTAGCACTTTTATAAATTCTAGCTTACTAGCTATTAATAAAACTTCTTTATATTAATTAAGCCTAATATATATTAAATTTACTATTAAGAGATATAATACTTTAATAAGCTTAATATTATACCTTATATAATCTGCTAATAATAAACCTAGTATAGCTTAGTTTAATATAGTTAAATCTAATTATTATATATTAATAGCTTTTATTTAAATTATATTATATAATACTAAGTAATATAAATATAATAGCTATTTATATTAACCCTACTTAGTAATATATTATATTTAATATTAACCTAGTATTTATTAATAATAATTAGGATATAAATAATAATTCTAAGAGTAATACTAATTCTAATATTACCTAATTTTATTAGTAAATAACTAATATAATAATTAAAATAGATAATCTCTAATAAGCTTTTATTAAAGCTATTATACTTTAAGCCTAGTAAGCTATTAATTATTAAAATATAATTTAAAAGATATATTAGCTTACTATTACTATTATAAATAAAATAAAAGTAAGAGAAATCCTTAAACCTAATATATTTAAATTATTTAATAGAAACCTAATAAAACTAATTATATTCCTTACTTAGTGCTAAGCCTTTATAAGCTATTTTCTAAACTAGTTTAATAAAGATAATAACTAAGTTATATATACCTTAAGATAACTTAAAGGTAATATAGCCTAGTAGTTTTAATTTATATTAGAAGATATAATTATTAAAATAAATTTTATACTACTATTATAAACTTTTTAAATTTATAAAAGCTATATAATATTTAAGTAAGCCCTATAATAAGCCTTTAAATTAGTTAATAAGAAAAGCTAAGTAAAATAAAAAATTAAAGTATTTTAATAAATTAAATTAGCTTTAAAATATAAAACTAAGTTCCTTTAGCTAATTATTAAGTTAAGATAAGACTAAGAACTCCTAATATTACTTTTCTTTAATAGACTTAAAGAATTAGTTTAAGTAAAACTTTATAAGAAAATAAAACCTAAGATATTAGTTAATTATATAAAATAAGTAATTAAGATTAATAATATATAATTCTAATAGAGAATTTATAATAACTAAAATAACTAGGGATAATAAGGGAATAAATTATATTATAATACTAATTAAGAAAGAAAATAAAATAATAATACTTCTTATAATATTAACTCTAAATTAATAATTATTAAAATAACTAAGAAAAATAAATTTAAAAATTATATTATAATACTAACTAAGAAAGAAAATAAAATAATAATACTTCTTATAATATTAACTCTAAATTAATAATTATTAAAATAACTAAGAAAAATAAATTTAAAATTACTTATTAGAATTATAATAAGAAAGGATATTATAATTTAAAATATAAAAACCTTATTAAAACTAACTAAAAATATAAACTAGTTCTTAAAAATAAGAAAATTAATATAATTAAGAAAAATAATAAACCTTAAATAGTAATTAAAATTATTAATATAATTAAAATAAAATATAACTTATTTAACCTAGGACTTATTATTAATATATATAACTTATTTCTTAGTAAGAAAGAAACCCTTAAAAGATATTATTTAAGAATAAAACTAAAATAATAACTTATACTAGGATATTATACCCTAATAATAAAAATCTAATATTTATAAAATAAAAAAAAGAAAAAACAAAAAAGGAAAAATATAAAAAGAAATACTAATAATAAATAAAAATAAATAAAATAATTAACCTTAAATAGGTATTAATACCTAAACTAGAAATATAACCTATTAAAAGAAAAACTATTACTATAATTAAAAAGGGAAAAAAGGTTAACCTTAGCCTAAATAATAAACCTAATACTAAGAGAAATAATTAGAAAACTTACTTAATAATAAATAAAATCCCTATTAAAGTTACCTTAAAATAATTAAATTAATATATTAATAATTTAAATTACTTAGAATCTTATTAAGTTTAAAAGGAATTTAATACTAAATATATTAAATATAAGAAGAATTAAATAATTTAAAATATAAAAATTATACCTTAATATAATAAATATAAGACCTATTTCTAGGATAATAAATACTAGAAATATATAAAACTTATAAAAAAATATA